ACGTACTACTACGTAGTAGTTAGTATTAACTAAGTACGTACGTGTACAGTCGACCGTACGTACCGACTAGTGGTAGTACGAGTGGCGGGGGGGGGGGGGGTTGGCTACAAATAGAGAGTGAAAGCTCATGAATATTGGAATATGAATAGAAATGGTAACATTTCAATTTTTTCCAAAAATGATACAAAAAATCACCATCAAAAAATTGACCTTGTTTAAATACATGATAATTTTAATTCTTCTTTGCTTTTTGAAACCTGATTTAACAAATTGTTTTTCTTATCACACCTTAACAACTATACACAGAAATGTAAAACATCGTTGTGAAACACTAAATTTAAACATACATTAAAAGCTAGCCATTGGTATGAAGTTTTTTTTCAAAAGTAACTAGGATATTTCTGGACAAAACTAATTCAAAGTCAACACACAGCAACAAAATTGTACACGTTATTTTCTAGACACAGAAGCTTTCTTCCACTTTCATCTGATCAGCTTTTACTTAAGTTATCTATGTAATAAAAACTCAACAATTGGATTTGTACTAAAAACATTTTAATTCTAAATACATTCTTCTTTAGAGTTAAAATAGTAAGTTTGAAATCCAGCATATTTTTTCTCAGTGTTGTACTAATGTTTGATGGCACCTCATGCAACACATAAATTCAAAGGTCCCAACCCAACCAGTTAGCTTGCTTTGTTAGTCAATTGGGCAATCGGCACCTTTGAGTTGGTGCCTTGTGCAAAAAATGCCACTCGCACTGCCCATGGTACAGTCCTGGTTTTACTATGCATTATGAATACAATTTGTTAAACTAAAAAAAAATCACACTGCTAAACTGTATATGTTTTCTGTTTGTTTGTCGTTAAACACAAAGCTATACAATGGCTATTTGTGCTCTACCCCCATAGATATCAAAACCTGATTTACCACTCAGACTCACCATTAAGCCACCAGGGGACAGATGTACAGGTAATTTGCTGCTACATGTTTTTACATACAACTCAGAGAGAAGAAAGAGAATTTTTTGAGTTTTAAATAACATACGTGTTCAAAACTGATAACGAAAATTTCATTACATAAAATCCTTTCTAAGCCTATCTTTAAAATTGGTAAAGTTAGCCAGAGTGAAAAACAATTATCTCACGTAGAAAAAAAAATGCTTAAGAAAACTGATAACAAAGTTGTGACTGGTCCCATATCTTACTAAAATCACACACTTATGTTATATGAACAAAAATAAAATAAGTATACTTACAAATGATGATATTCTTTAGTACAGCTTGGTCACAAAAACCAAAATATTTATTCCAGGCAGGCTTTTAAACAGAACAAAGGGAATTTATAAAGACAAAATTGTCCTAATATCAACCAGTTACTAATGTGAAATATGCCGATGACATGGAAGAAGGAAGTGTATATTACATAATGTATTTCATAGTGACTTGAGCTTTCTAACCATGGTGTTTTTTCTTTTTTTGGGGTTTTTAGTTCTCTTTTCCTTTACTACTTTTGCTTTAACACTAGCTGTGGATTTGGACGAAGTAGAAGAGTTGGATGAAGAGCTGGAACTGCTAGAAGAGCTTTCTGAATCTGATGATGAAGATGAACTTGTAACTTCATTTTCACTGGAAGATTCACTTTCACTCGAAGACTCCGAGGAATTTTCACTAGATGATGAGGAGGAGGAGGAGGAGGATGATGATGAAGAGGAAGATGAGCTATTGTCACTTTCATCATCAGATCTAGAAATGAGTTTAAACATAAAAAGTGATCTTAAAATGTTTTGCATCCTGTATTAGGTAAGTTCTTAATATTTTTTTTGCTGTTGAAATAAATCTGCAGTCATTATGTTTAATTTTATATCAGAATTCTGTAATTATTGTGGATTTTTTTTACTGTTTTAAATAGAATTATTTTTACAATCAAGTTCTTTGAAATGTTTGGTCCATCAACTATTTTAGTTTGTTCTTTGCAAGATTTTAAGGTTTATAAATACTACTCCCGAGATACTTATGTAACCATGTCTAAAAATGTGTCCCGTGTACGTAAAATACTATATGTTATTGTGCAATGTGGTATTACTTTGAGATTTAAATATTTTTCTTATAGGTTCAAAACGATAAAACGCGCAATTCCTACTATAACTCCTTAGCCTTTAGGAATCAACCCACAAAAAGTTACCCAAGTGTTTGCAACTTTTTTAACAAATATTAAAACCTCTCTTCTTTGTGTCCTTTGGCTTTAGATAACTTACAACCTTACCGTATGAAAAAGGCTGTGACACGTTTCTCCAAACATAAGTCTACTATGATTGCATTGCACATTGAATGGTTGAGAATTATACATATACCAAATATGTGTGTGTTAAACAAGTCACCAGAGCATCACTGCTCACACCTCAGCAACATGCCATTATATCAAAATATGCAAACTTTTTTATACAGTTTTGTGCTATACAAGTACTTTGAAACATCACGGTTTTAGCATTTATGAAGTATCTTCTTCATAACTCCATCACAACATAAAAAAAAAATAGTTGTGTGCTTATTTTGAAAAACATCCAAAATAATGTAAATGTAACAAAATAATGTATGTAACAAAAGTAACATACAAAACTAAGTAATAAAAAATTACAAAAATACGACTGAATTTTGGCAACAATTATCTGTGCAGAGATGTCGTTTTCTTGTTGTACTAATTTATTTGAAAATTTGACAAATCAAGAAATTTATTAGTCTTCATCGTGTTAGTTGTGCCATGCTCTATTAAAATATAGATGACCATTTACCTCAATGAAGTTAAAATAGCATTTTTGTTTTTTGTTAAGAAAACAAAATCGGCTATCTGTGCTGTGCCCTTGATTTTTAGATTTATAAGCCTTCAGACTTACTGCGAGCCATTGGGAGGCAGTCAGTGTTCTTGCTTCAGAAAAAATAATAATATCATCAACCAATGAATGTTCACACACCAAGGCAAAACAAAAGGTAAGGTGAACCACTAAATACATAGGTATGGCTTGAGAGGTCTTATTCACTGAAGCTGCAATAATTAAGTATAAACACTCTGAAGAGTTTGCCAGAATAAACAGATTTCTGCAAAAATTCTTGATGTGTTTGATATAGCTGGTTGGAAATTACTGAATGTCATTCTGAATTTATCTAAGATCTGAAATAAATTACTTACTATAACTGTAGGGAATTATGCAAACATGGATTTTTGAAGAAAGGTGAGTTACTTATAAGGACAAAATCTAATCAAACCGATTTTATTTTTGCTACTTACTTTGTTATCTTCTTTCTCTGTTCTTCCATTTCCTTACTGGAAGAGACAAATATACATCTTAATATCTTTTTTTTTGATTAAGTATTTCCATACCAGGTTACAATAAACTTACCAATATATCATCTGGACTAAGATTCTCGTATCTATACTTCTTATTTCTATCAATGAAATCTATATTGTTAGTCTTCTAGCTTCACAAATAAGCCTGCCCACCTGAGTTGAAGCTATCAGTAACACACATCTTTTGAAACACTTTTTAAAGTTTATTAAATCTCATAAATTTTACGATAAAAACAATTAGTTGTCTTTAATTATCCATCAATAAAGAAAAAGTATTAATTTATTTTGTCATTACAAAGTTCTTTCTAATGTTAATGTTGAATATATTACACACACATGTCTCCTTTATTACAAACTGATATCAAAGAATAAAATGGTGAGATAATCACCTTACTAAAAACATAACACTTATCAAAGAATGAAATGGTGAGATAATCACCTTACTAAAAACGTAACACTTATCAAAGAATGAAATGACGAGATAATCACCTTACTAAAAACGTAACACTTATCAAAGAATGAAATGGCGAGATAATCACCTTACTAAAAACGTAACACTTATCAAAGAATGAAATGGCGAGATAATCACCTTACTAAAAACATAAAACTTACAGTAAACCAATTCTTTTTTGTTCATCCTCTTTTTTAAGTTTTTTCTTCAATTGTGATGTTCGTGATGGTCTGTAAAGATATTTCCTTTTGCCAATGCACTGGTATGTCCAATGTCCGTATTCCAAACACTTCTGACATCGAACTTTAGAGACATCAGGGGTACTACTAGGAAATATTAGCCACACACGTTTAAAATGTTCATCTTGCAGCAGCAGTAACCAAAGTTAAATCAGTTTAGGAATAATCGTGAGAAAAATAAATTTACAAAATATTTAAATTTTTTCAAGGACTTTTACAAACTTTAAAAGAATAAAGTTTTATGGTGATTATGAAAGGCTAATTACTGAAAAAGCAATCGATTTTTGCTTCGAAACAAGTGGTAAAAACCAAAGAGATGGATTTTTTTTTGTAGAAGTTAACAAAAAAATTTAATAATGCAAAAATATAAACTTACCAATAAAAGATAGAAATGAATAATATGTATTTATATTTTGGTTGTGTCTGGTTAGTAATTAGTTTATACTCTTACTGTAACTATACCTTGTCTCATTTTTTATATTACAGTTTTGGGAATAAAAGTAAAATTTTTCATGAAAAAAGGAGAACGGTAAGCTATACGTTTTAATAACAGGTTTTGTCAGTCTATTTAAGAACTTTCTGTTAAAAAATAAAGATATACAGTACTTAATAACAAGTATAGAAATGATTTGTGTGAATTTTCTGTGTATGGTTTCATTCTTTTTATCCATTTTATAATTTTTGATTATTAAAGTGAGTCACACTAACTGTCTTGAGCACTGATCTACGTGAAAGTTTATTTGTGCCTTGGTAATCTCTACAATCATCTAGGCATAACTGTTATATCTTTTTTATTACTAAATACTAATATTATTAATTAGTTGATATCTACAACCTTAAATTGTATCATGGGTACTAATTTGGTTATATCCACTGGAAATGATAACAGTCATATTATTTATAATGACATATTTATGCCTAAAATCATAAGTGTGAACTAAGCTTTTCTTTATTTAATTATCTTGAGGAGTAAATTTTTTTTTCTCTTAATAAAGAATTGACAATATTATTTACCTTACTTGGTATAATATTCCTTAACCC